TTTCAGCCCCAATTCGGAAATAAATATTGAGTTTTTTCTTTCGTTTTCTTCCCCAACTCATTCAATAAGGTTTCTTCTGTGTCATACAGTAAGTTTTCCTATCCAATTTGCTTCTCTAGCTTCCTAAAAATCTCACTAAATGGCCGCAAAACGTAAAACTTGCGCGGTCTCCAACGCGTTAAAATATGGAGGACGTAAAATAATTGTCGGAAAAAACGACAGAAAGCCCAGGATCGGAACTACCGCACGTGATTATCTTCACAAATAGAATGGTAAAACGATAACGTTTCCGTTGATCTATTTATGAAGTGATGAAGCTCTACGAACCTCCTTTTCGCCTCCTCTTCGTTCCATTCGTTTGGACGGTGAAGATTCGTCCACGGTAGAGCACGGTTCGGAAGAAGCACATCTGAAACCATTACTGATCGGTCACCATCAGCTTCTAAGCGGCCGTGAACTCACCTCCACGGTTGCGGATCTCTTCTGAAGCATCGCCAGTAGCCGTTGCTGCATTGACAGCGGGCTCCCGCTGATTGTTCGGAACGCGGATTTCATCTCGTTATTCTCGGGTTTTATAGAGGAAGAACGAGCACTCGGAAAGCCGACCGCGGTCGAAGGAGGTGAGGAAGAGAGAGGAGGACTCTTCATCTCTGTCCACTGATTCATCACAGGACATGGAAGGAACAGGAGAGGAACAGTCACTCATCTGGAAAGTAATTATGATTATGGGAAAGATGGCTTGTTTTGGACGGCCTTGATGAAGAATTGAGCGAATTGCTTATAACAACTGGCAAATGAGAAGGTGAACATTTATTCCAATATCATTTTTGAAAAAAAAGTTTTTTCCGTCAATATTTTATAAGCGCCGAGTTTAGCTGGAAGAACTAGATTTATGGACCATTTGAATAGTTTTCAGGGCATCCAAGCACACAAAGGGCCAAGTTGATTGAGGGATAGACCACAGCTGGTAGACGGGAGTAGAAGAGTCACCAGAGGGCGCCATGCGGCAACAATTGGATGCGCACGCTCGGAACACCCTGGCCATCATCGCGGGGGTCAGCAGAGGTCAAGTTTGAACGGGCCGTGTGGTGAGCATAGGAATGAGGGGGCGGTGCACGATTGCGCAATATCCGCACGGTTAATCACAGTGGTGTTTGTCGAGCGGGTCAGTTGCAGACACTCAAGAGCAGCCGATGTCATTTGAAAATCCCTCTCTACGACCGATTGCTGACCCTCTCAGAGGTCACGCAGTGATGGGAACTGTCTTCGTAAGGACTCAAGCTAGAAGCCGGCGCTTGAAAGGACATCGGGGTCTATTCCAGTTAGGGGGGCATCATGATGCAGTTTTTCCAGAAAGCTAGGTAACTCCGAGCCAGGGGAGTGTAGCCAGTCTAGGGGGGGTGGGGTGAGGGCAGTCACTTGACATGCGTGAAAAGCTGGAATGTTCGAGTTTACATAGTTCGCCGAGAACTGCATGATGATGCCCCCTGGAACAGACCGGGACATCGGGCATTGGTTAGGTGCATGCTCCAAGGAGGGTCAGGGGTCCCCTTCATATTTTGGCGTCAAAGACAAAAGTAAGATCAACGGAGCTTTTGGCGCAGTAACCTTTTTTGGGATGCGCCACACATTCTAATTCCGTTCATAATCGAAGTGGCCTTTGAATGAGGTTTGGTTTACACAACCACTTGCATGGGCCAGAAGATTTCAAGAGAACTCTTTCTTTTTCGATTCCAAGCAACTCTGGTACCAGCTGACCGATGCTCGAGAGAGGCTCGGTTGGTCTCGGATGGCATACGAGATTCGATCTGCGGACCGTTTGCTGATAGGCAGTGCCCGTGCCCACTTCTTCCTCAGCGCTATGGCTGTGGCTTTTTCAGCTAACCCAACCAAGTTTTGCATTAGAAAAGTTTAAGGTAAGAAGTGGTGCAAAAGACCCGTTCAAGGAAGAAAATTGAATCGGGTGATGAGTGAGTTGGGGTCCCCATTCGTACTCGTTGAAACTCGCGCAATTGTATTCCGCGCCATGGCAGTACGAGGGTCCGATATTCGAACTTTCCGAAAACTCAGCACCCTACCCCTTTAGGGTTTAGGAGCCGCCCCAATACTACACCCCTTCTCTCTACCACGATCACCGCCCTTACCGCAATGATGGCTTGTTTCTAATAACGCTGAGACCAGCTCGACATTCCTACACCGCAACTTGGCCCTCACTTTTTCCATACACGTAGATTCAAAAAGCGCATGCACAAGGTTTCGTTCGGGAGTGTCATGAACCTTCAGTTCATGATGTTTTTCATTGTTCTCGAGCTCTGTAATCCGCCTACGACAGAAGGGCGGTACGACTTGGTCGGCTCTGAAGGCGGCGACAAGAGAAAGGGTCGCATGCTGTACAGTAACGGCGACAACCGCCTGTCTTGCTTGCTGATGTGGAGATTTCCCTAGAGCGTATCTGTCACTAGCGGACCCGCACGAATCCAAATTGAAATCCAAGTAGCTCAAGCAATAAAAGAGTCAAAGTTCAAATCAAATTCATTCCTCATATATCCTTCACTCGCATATATTCGCATATGTTACTCGCATATATTTGTTCGATTTGTACTCATTATCCCGCGGTCGATTGGTGCTATTTTGCTTGTTTGTATTATGGCTTTATATTTACCATTTATAAACTTCACAGCTTTGCTTTTGCTATTTACTCCATAAACTTGGTGTAACTGAACGTTGTACCCATAAAGAACCACCAAAGTACACTTGGAAGTGATGCAACCAAGTCATGGTGCATCGGCCAAATCATCAGCTCAATACACAGTACACTTCGCTACCTCGAAAGAGCGGATCTGGAATGCTACGCCTTTCTTTTTTCAAGGTAAGCTATTTAGCATGCAAATAAGCATACCTATTGTACCCTCGCGTAGTATATTCCATTTCTGCTGATCTCTTAACCTGCACCCTTTTCCTTTTATCTCGCTTTTCTTTATTTGAATTTGTGGCCACATTGAAAAAAAAAATTCAAACGTACAAAGATATGCTCAATTCATGAGACATAACGTAACTGGTAACCACCAGTACACGTTGTCATCGTATCGAGAGGAGAAGACTCGTTGAAAACCCGGTGGCAGTCCGATAGTCTGCCTCAAGAATTATCGAGAAGAGCACACTCGTACAAAACCCGGTGGCAGTCCGACAGTCTGCCTTTGATATAACGAGAAGAGCATACTCGTAAAAACCCGGAAGCAGACCGATAGTCTGGCCAAGATGAAGAACAAAGCCGGCAAACCATTGATTATTCACAAATTCTTTGGTCTTAAGGTCTAATGTTAACTATTATAGAACAGCGAAATTTGCATCCTCTTTCAAGTCCCACTTTGATCACTCAGATCCTCGATAATGCAAAGAAAATTTCTTCAATCCCTCAAAGTTTGACATTTTCCTCCAGTTTGAAAAGGTTTTTGAGCCCGAACATTTCAAAACAAAAATCGCTCGAGCGAGGGAAAACCCTTTTCAAAAACAATGCATTCTTGAACGCATATATCCCACAACAAAGATGACAGCTTTCTGCTTGCTCATTATCACAACATTCTCCATAGCTTCTCAGAGCAAAATATTCCCAAGCTTTTAGAATCTCAAAATAAAAGATAAAAGCTTGGGCTCGACGCCATTCCAAAACAACACTCAGCAGAACATTTATGTTTTCAAAACACAAAATCCACAACGTACATAAAGGAAGCAAGCGTCACTGACTTCGTTCTGTTGTGCTGCTCGCAGTACGAACTCCTGGAGATCTGTCGCTCTCAACGACCGCTTATCCGCATCCGCCGTGTACAGTGAGGACGTTCAGGTATGTCGCAACCTTTCCTCCTGAAAAATGTCAAGATTACCTTGACTAGAAGCCTCAATTTGCTTTCCAACTTAATCGCAGAGGCTAATGAGTTCCGTGAATGGGAAATACCAAACACCATTTCAGAGTTGGAGCTATTTATACCTTCGAACCGGTTGAGACTTCAAAACCTAATTTCAGTGATTGCTAAACGTAGACAATCCATTTGTGAATACTACGCTAACTGTACTTGTACAGTAGCGAGCCTATCCCAAGAGGAAAAGTCCAATCTAGAACAAGAGTTCGATGCTTACTGGCTTGAAAAGAAGGGGGAAGATCTACTTCTTGAAGCCGAACACGTTGAACGCCAACTAGAAAAAAGGTTGGTTGAACTTGAGTGTAACAACACCCTCTACCAGCAAGAACTTAGAAAACGAGCGAATGGTGGAATACCTAATTCAGCAGATCAGTCGGTTACTGCACCGACAGTGGCGGATTTATCACAGAGGCTTGAGCCAACAAATACATCTAGCGGGTTCACATTAGAGAGACGCCTTTTAGGCAACGAACTAAAAATACCAGAGTTCAATGGCACACCTACGGAGTTTGGTCCCTTCTGGGAGCTCTTCGAAGAACTAGTCCACAAACAACCATATTCCAATATTGAGAAACTTTCAATTCTATTGAGCTGCTGCAAAGGTGACGCAGCAAGGACACTACAAATGATTCCAAGAACAGGAGAATCTTACGATAAAGCCGTCACTCAACTCAAAAGTCAGTACGAAGATCCCAAACAAATCACAATGCAAATGATCCGCAAACTCAAGTCCATGAAACAGTGCCGAGAAGACTCTCGATCGCTTAGGAATAACCTTAGCGATGTACAGGCCATAACGGCTACGTTAGAAAAACAAGGGGAAGTCGTCAATACCACATACATGATAAGTATGATACTAGATACCTTCCCTCAAAACATACAAGACGAAATGGCCAAGAAAGAGTTTGATTCAGGGAAAAGCTGGACCATGGCAGACTTATTAGATAACCTCACTTTGTTAGTTAAACGTAAAGAACACATATCTAGCATCAAAAATTCAAATAACGACGAGCACCTAATATTCCATACCAGTGCAATGACAATTGACCCCACCAGTTGCATAGGGTGTGGGCAACCACACAAATTTCGATTTTGCAATAAGTACGTAACAGCTAACCAAAAAATCGAACGTCTTAAAGACACTCAAAGCTTGCTGGAAATGCTTCACCCGCAATCATACAACACAGTTTTGCCGCAAGCGGAATTGTATTTACTGTGGAGGGCACCACAACCCCATCTTATGCAATAAACAACCGAGACGAGCAATACAGTGGAGCAGAAATGACCACCGACAAGAACACCATAGTCCATCAAATGAACGAAGAAACCATATTCCAATAAGGCACTTACGAAATAGAAGCTATTCTCCACGCAACGGATTTCGGGCACAACTTCATTCGTACAGCCAGCCATATAACGGTCCGAGGAATTCCAGTTCTTCCCGCAACGGACGATTCTTTTCAAGATCGAATTCGAGATCACCACCAAGAGAATGGCACAATAAATTCATTGGCAGAAGATTCGCAAGATCATCATCAAGGAGTCCTGATGACCAGCATCGTGTCAGATTCGCCTCCTCTCCCATTCCAAGACAGAAATCGCCAAGGAGCGTCAGAGTCAACTTCCAATCCCAAAAGACAAATTACACGGAAGCTAATGACAAAAGTAACACAAATCCATTCATTAATAACGGAGAAGTCCGTTTAATGATTGTACCAGTTCAATTGCAAGATAATATGGACATGGACATAAACCCAGTCTATGCCCTCTTAGACTCCGCTTCCGATCAGTCGTTCATTCTGAATTCACTTGCAAAACGACTGAACCTTTCCATTCAGAAAGAAACCACTATAATTGTGAACACCTTTGGTGGACGAGCAGAAAGGAAGCGAGTGAAAAGAGTCATTAGTAACCTCTATAACTCCAGTGGGAACTACATCACAGTTCAGCTCCTGACCCACGACAAAATTACACCTCCTCTTCATCTTGGTGATATATCGCCACAGGACAGAGCATTTATTCAAGATAACTTCTCAAGCAGTGAGGCCCGCTGCATTATTGACGCAGCAACAGGAACTATAACTCCTGAGATACTAATTGGCATGGACTATTTCAACTCGGTCATCAGCCTTCATCAATCTGTTATTCGCCTCCCGTCAGGACTATTTATGACACCGACGTTCTTTGGTCCGGTCATATCGGGAGTCACTACCCACGACAACGACAATACAGAACAAAGGTGTTTTTATGAGCATATAGTCCAAACGTGCACATCCACTCACCCATATGACAACGACTTTCATTTCGACATATCAGATTTATGGAAACTTCCTGGAATTGGGATAGAGGAATGCTGCACAGAAGAAGAGCTCAATCAACAAATAGTAGAAAACTTCTACTCAACAGTAGAGAATCGAAATGGCCAAATATATGTAAGATTTCCTTGGAAACCTAACAAAGATTGCTTGGCTAACAATTATAACTTAGCTCTGAGCAGACTCCACCAATTATTCAAAATGAAAGAACGAAATCCAGAATGCTGGAAAGACTATTGCAACATTATTGAAGAACAACTCAAGAAAAATTTCATAGAAGATGCACCGCGTAATAACAACACTATTAATTCAGCACCCTGTTATTATATACCACATCAGGCCGTCATCAAGTCCGAAAGTTCAACCACTAAGACTCGCATTGTTCTAGATGCATCATCCAAAATGAAAGGCGAGCTCAGTCTCAATGATGTAATTTATCAAGGCCCCTTAATACTGCCGAATTTATGCGGCATTCTTATAAGGTCACGAATAGGGTCCAAAATTATGACTGCCGATGTCGAAAAGGCATTTCATATGATTCATCTACAGGAATCGGAACGAGATGCAGTCCGATTCCTGTGGCTTAGAGATGTATCCCAGCCACCAACTCCAGAGAATGTAAGAGTTCTGCGATTCTGTAGACTCCCCTTTGGAATCAACGCATCCCCGTTTTTGTTAGGCATATCCATCAAGTATGGTATTGAACAACAGTCCAACCTTGACAAAGAACTCCAGCAACAGCTCAGGGATAACCTTTACGTAGACAATGTACTACTGACAGATCATTCCACACAATCTCTCATAGAGAAGTACAAGCTGTGCAAGCAACTGTTTGGAAAACTATCGATGAATCTTCGACAGTTCCTCACAAACGATACGACTTGCAATAGCATGATTCCCAAGGAAGATCTTGCAGCCAATAAGTCCACCAAAATCCTGGGGATACCTTGGGACCACAAATCAGATGTGTTCACAATACCTTGCAAACTCTCATACACTTCAGTACCTACAAAACGTAAAGTTCTCCAAGCCACACATTCAACTTTTGATCCACTTGGACTTCTTACGCCACTGCTATTACCAGCAAAACTCTTTCTTCAAAAGCTCTGGAAATGTGAGTACAATTGGGACGATCCACTTTCCCCCGATTTGGATTGCGAATGGCAAACTATCTGTAAGAATGCGGCGGGGTACATAGCGGTTGCGCCTCGCGCAATCGCAGACCCTTCTGTCAATAACAAATACGAAATTCATGCGTTCGTAGATGCCTCCATTCGATCGTTTGCAGCAGCTGTCTATTTGCGCACGATCAATGAGAACAACACGATCGGCAGCTCCCTTGTGATGGCAAGGCAGCGGCTTGCACCGATCAATACGAGTTCGAAAACATTAACAATCCCTCGATTGGAACTTCTAGCCTTATTAATTGGAGTGAGATTAACGAACTTTGTATTGAAGGAAATCCAGTTGCCAATCAGTAAAATTCGAATTTACAGTGATTCACAAGTAACACTTAGTTGGGTTGAATCCAGTAGCAGAAATGGAACTTTCATTGATAATCGCACGAAAGAGATCCGAGCAAAATTACAGACATGCTCAGAAAAGGGTATCCCATGTCATCTCCATTATATTCCATCAGAAAGTAATCCTGCTGATTGCGCAACAAAAGGGTTGACCCAGAAACAGATGTCCGACCATGTGTGGTGGTCGGGTCCTGCTTTCCTAACAGCCCACGATTCAAAATGGCCACAACTTTCAGAGTATTCATGGAAGCCAAAAGAAAACAATCAGGAAGTAACAAAAGAAACCCTGACGCATTTAATAACATCCACACAAGAAACATCCCAAAACATACAATCAAGTCATCTTTTCCCTAAAGACTTTTCTTCACTCACCAAACACAAAAGGATACTTGCACTAGTTCTGAAGTTCATCAAAACAGCCATTTATAACAAAATTTTAAAAGAAAATCAGATGAAATTCAAAACAGCCGTACCTGAAATCGAAGCAATGGACGAAGCAAAACCACTGGCGTCGTTGACCGCAATCGATATGGTGGCTGCTGAAAAAATAATCATCAAAACAATGCAAAGAACCCTCACTGAGGAAAATTTCAAAAAACTTGATGATTTACAACTTTACACAGACACTGACGGATTGATTAAATGTAAAGGTAGAATCAGAACATCACATCTAGCTACGGAAACACTACAACCCATCTTACTTCCCACGAGTCACCGATTCACCAATCTGTTCATTAAAGAAGCACACCTTCGATGCGGTCATCAAGGCGTGAATGGCACATTGGCGAATCTGCGACTCAACTATTGGATCCCAAAAGGAAGACAAATTGTAAAAAAGTACTTAAAAAATTGCCTCATTTGTAAAAAATGGAATTCAAGACCTTACTTTTATCCATTGTCCCCGGCATTGCCGCTGACGCGCACTGAACCATCACGCGCATTTGCACACATCGGCGTCGACCTCGCCGGCCCGATTCGCATAATGGACTCTGAAAAAAGAGAGCATAAAAAATGGATATTCCTGGCAACTTGTATGGTAACACGAGCAATACACTTAGAAGTAGTGAATAACCTAAGCACAACAGAAATCATCAACGTTCTAAGAAGATTTATAGCGCGACGAGGAAAACCACAACTCATAATTTCAGACAATGCAACCAATTTCGCAATGGGGCGCGAAATTATAAACAGTTTAGAAAATCAGTCAAAGATGCAAATCGAAGAAGTCCAATCTTTCTTGGCAAATGAACGAATTCAGTGGAAATTCATTACACCCTTGTCCCCATGGAAAGGGGGGTTCTATGAGAGAATGATTGGAGTAATGAAGTCCATTTTCAGAAAAATATCTCATAAAAAACAACTAACAGAGGATGAGTTTGTAACCATCGTACCAGAGTGCGAGGCGATGGTAAATTCCAGGCCATTAACTTATATGGGAAGTACCCTGGAGGATTCAGCAATACTGCGCCCGATCGATTTCATAATTCCCCATGCCAACATCAACTTTCTTCGAGATTCACAGAACTATTCTAAAGATGAAGACTATATACCTTATCCATCAACCAAGGAAAACCTCCTTCAGCACTTCAGAAAACACACTACCTATCTCCAATCAGTCTGGAACTTTTGGACCAGCCATTACTTGCTGGAACTCCGAAACTTCCACCAAAAGAGAATAAAGCAGAAAACATTCACAAGGAAAGAACCTCGAGTAGGGGAAGTCGTGCTTCTGATGGAAGAGGACACCCCTCGAGGAGAATGGAGATTGGGGTTAGTAACTAAACTCATTAAGGACCCCGATGGGAACATACGATCGGCAGAGTTGAAAACATCAAAATCGAATATAACACGATCTGTTAATATGCTAATTCCATTAGAAATAGACAACGAAACAGAAAGTATCAATTCCAAACAAATCAATACGAACGATAAGTTGCAATTGAACAGCTCGAATGATAACAACAAAGAACACCCAAATGACGAGATAATACATGAACGAGGCGGAGAGGCAGACTCAGCTCAGCCTGACAATGCACAACGACTGCGACCCTATTTGCCGCGCCGCGCGAAGGAAAATAAGGCGTACGCCGTCAACGCGAAACCGATACACTACGAGCGCACGGAGAGGGACCGATCCAGCGCGCCGTGGTGTCGCTGGCTCCTGTTGGCGATACTAGCGAACCTTTGCACATGCATGCGCGCAACAAGGAACACTACAGGGGACATTATACATTGCGTAACAGGTGGCATATCTATCCATACACCAGAAACACAGGATAGAATGCATGTTTGCGCTGATAATTACTGTCTAGACATATCCCAGCCAGGTCAAAACTTCAGAGTACAATTTCCAGCAGAAATAACTCTTCATACCTACCAGGTGATGGTAAAATCGCTGCAAGGTAATATTACACACGCATTCCATTGGGCCTGCCCACCAAGTCCATTCTGTGAGCAAATATCTTGTACATTTTGCACATTAATGCTCACAAATCCTGAATGTTGGCCCAAAGTAGCTATCGGACTAGCTGCACTGCTTTTTTACATAGCGATACTCACCATCTATCTCACCTATAGCACACTAAAGAAGCTTTATAGGGGTTTCACCTGCCTTTGCGGAAAGGTTACATGCATTAAAACCTTGGTGAATTGGATTTTCAGGAAATGTATCTCCCGACGACAGTCTCATGAGTACATACAATTGACTGAAATCAAAAAGCACAAAACAGATAATTGGCGGATTGGCACAATAACACGAATATTGACCATCATTACACTAATCACATCACCAACCTTTGGATGCCAGCAAACCGTATTGATGTCATCCTCTATATCCCAATGCAGTTCGAGGGACAGAACGTGTAATAACATGACAACAGTTGTTGCCAAGTTCAACACTTTGCAACCTGAACTGTGTCTTAGTTTCAACGAAGGGAATTACCAAATACACCTACTGAAAATAACAGTTCAAGAGCTCATTCTTACATGTCAAAAAGAGACACTATACTTTACCCGTAACACAGAAACCAAAGTAGAATACAGTAAAAGATGTCCAGGCCAAGGTACGTGTAAAGGCGCTAAATGCGCAAAAATCTCGCCAGACTCTCTCATTAAAGAGCTCGAGAAAGCAAATAACTTCACAGGAATCACGTATTGTTCAGAATCCTGTGGTTTTTTAGGATGTTCATGTGGGTATCCTTCCTCTGGATGCCTTTTTTATCGTATATATCCACGTCCCGAAAGACGAAGACATATACGAGATCTTTCAGTGTCCATCTTGGCAAGAAACCATCAAATTCAAAATCGAACATGCACATAACGACAGAATCTATGCAGGAGAAATCAAACCATACACAAAACGACAATTCGGTTTCATTGAAGTAGAGGTCACACAATTCTCCTTTCACACCAACAGCAATACTTAATAAGCGATTCATTACCAATCGTAAGGCTACCGCCTACCTCAACGACGAAGTCCAATTCAGTTACGCCTGCACCTCAAATCCCCAACATGAGAATTCATCAAACTCCTGCACAATAACCGACACCTGCAAATGTAATCCCGCAGAAAACTCAGTGAACTGTTACTGTACCCACAACAACATTTCTCAAATCCAAAACTTACAAAACCTCCTCCCCCTACCAATTGCAAATGGTGTTGTCAGTCCGGGAGCTAAAAAACTCCCAAAAATCCGCACCTCTGCTATTGCTGTTGAAATGGCTATACGCCTAATCACTACTCCAACACAAATACAGCAGTACATCACAGAATTCGATTGCAACGTTATTCCAAAGGCTCTTGACGGGTTGTTATAACTGCGTCAAAGGAGCCAACTGCAACTATCTTCATGTTCCGCAGACATTGCACAGGCCACAGCACAAGTGACCTGTGCCACACAACAGTTCGTGCTAACGTGCACAAAGGAAGGCTATGAGAACAAAATACAACTGTTTTTCACTAGCGCACGAGTAAAAGAGCAATGCCGCGTCCAAGGCAACAAAGACACCATAGTGTTCGAAATAAAAGGAACTCTAAACTACATTAATGGCATAAGACCATTCTCAAAATTCACTAAGCTCCTTTTAAATACAACCGAGAATGAAAATTCAATCGATATCAATCTCCAACTCCCCGATATTTCCCATTTCTTTGACATATGCAAACAATTCTACATCTATACAGTCATCGTCCTTCTCCTTCTTGCAAGTACAATCCTAATCAGCGCAAGGCATCTTTGCGCTTGCAACAACAAGTCACGACGAGCTTTTTCCACCATGACATTCCCCTCTTCATTCGTCTTCTTGCCCTTTCTTGTGGTCGCTACCATTCTCAGCCTTTCTTTGGCCACATTCAAATTTTTCCTTCGCTTACCATTACGCCTCGTTCCATTGCTACAAAAACTTTATACCATTTTTTGAAAGTTAGTAATATCATATTGACACTAGCTCATCTCCATCTTAATATCATATTCTGCCTCCCTTATACATACTTAACAACATTTCACACCTCCAATACAATTGAATTACAGAAAATGGCTGATGAGCAGCGTGATGGTGCTAATGATGCTAATGTGCAAGCTCCGTTCGGTATGAATACAGAGTCCATTCAAGACGACGTGCATGAAGACCCGCAAACCACTATCAGGAAAAAACTAACCCAGATACAATGCCGAACCGTCGACATACCAGTTATCAAAACGAAAGTGGAAAGCACATATGTGAGTTCATGCTTTCCTTTACTTAACGGCCAATAGGACCTAGTTTATATGACCAAAAGAAGATGAAAATACGAATTCATTAGTTTCTATCATTAAGCCATTTTTTTAAGAAGCCTAAAGAAAATCCACAAAAAGATCAAAAGAGGAAGAGGAAATACACATCCCCTTCACATTCTGCTGAAATCACACAAGATAGAAGTAGAGTTAAGGTACAGGATAATACAACCTCAATCCCTAGTTCAATTTCAACCATCCCTTTTAGGGCACAGTTAACTCGACAGCTCAGAACGTTGTGGCCGTCAAGAATCTGGTCGAGGAAATGACCGAAGATCTGGATCACGTGCAGAGCGTCAACTACAACTTGGAGGAATTAGTTAAAGAAATGGATGAGCGCATAATGAACCGCTTTGATCACATGATGGACTTTCAAATGGAGTTCGCGCAGAAGCTGGACTATCTGAAACAAGGTCACGATGATCTCGTTCGTCAGATAGACAACATTCGTCAACAACAGCCAGTACACGTAGGTCCTTCAGCCCAACAGCCGAGTAGTTCTAAAGCTAAAGCATGCCCCTTTTGTACTGGACCACATAACGCTTGGAATTGTACTGTAGTTGTAAAACTTCGTGAGAGAAGTAGGATTCTCAAGCAAACTGACAAATGTGAGCGTTGTCTTCAGGATGCGAATCATTTAGTGACTTCCTGTAGAAAGAAGAATCCCTGCTATTATTGTCTTACTGCTAAGAGAGAGGCAGACATGGGTGGTCACCACTCAGCCTTTTGCCCTTTTAAATTTCAGTTTTGAATCATTTCTTTCATGTGTTCTAATTCATCACGTTCATTCATTTGTTTCTTATTACAACCTGGTTTGAACCTTTTTTCTTACATGTGCAATTGGTTTTCTTCCTTTTGTATGATTTCAATGAACATCTTCTTACTTTACTAATTCATTCTCTTACTCATTGCCTTTTCATCCCTTATACTACTGCCCAATACATTCACTTACCGTCGCATTACTTGTATTTTGGATCCCATATTGCCATTACATCATAAAATCGGTCGTTTCTTACGATAACTCCGACATTCTATCTACTGTTTTCGTTTAACCACTCCTTTTATTTCTTGCAATTGCTGTTTTTTTCGTTGTATTCATTGAAACGTACTGATTTGTATGACTTCCTTGAAGTTGTCAAATTCGTAGCCCGAATAGCTCTGTTATTGCTGAGACAGCCCATACCAACTCATCTTTTTTTCTTGAAACAGTCCAATACAGCACATACTACTAACTCAATTTCTCGTTGCGGGGAGGATGCGCAAATTCTTGTCTAAGCCCCTAGCGCATGCACTTTTGCGCCTCGGGAGTGTCATGAACCCTTCAGTTCATGATGTTTTTCATTGTTCTCGAGCTCTGTAATCCGCCTACGACAGAAGGGCGGTACGACTTGGTCGGCTCTGAAGGCGGCGACAAGAGAAAGGGTCGCATGCTGTACAGTAACGGCGACAACCGCCTGTCTTGCTTGCTGATGTGGAGATTTCCCTAGAGCGTATCTGTCACTAGCGGACCCGCACGAATCCAAATTGAAATCCAAGTAGCTCAAGCAATAAAAGAGTCAAAGTTCAAATCAAATTCATTCCTCATATATCCTTCACTCGCATATATTCGCATATGTTACTCGCATATATTTGTTCGATTTGTACTCATTATCCCGCGGTCGATTGGTGCTATTTTGCTTGTTTGTATTATGGCTTTATATTTACCATTTATAAACTTCACAGCTTTGCATTTGCTATTTACTCCATAAACTTGGTGTAACTGAACGTTGTACCCATAAAGAACCACCAAAGTACACTTGGAAGTGATGCAACCAAGTCATGGTGCATCGGCCAAATCATCAGCTCAATACACAGTACACTTCGCTACCTCGAAAGAGCGGATCTGGAATGCTACGCCTTTCTTTTTTCAAGGTAAGCTATTTAGCATGCAAATAAGCATACCTATTGTACCCTCGCGTAGTATATTCCATTTCTGCTGATCTCTTAACCTGCACCCTTTTCCTTTTATCTCGCTTTTCTTTATTTGAATTTGTGGCCACATTAAA